AGCAGAGAAAGGGGCAACAAGGTAAAGGGAGCTGGGCATGCTTGGGCATAAATTCAAATCAGCCTGCCTTGACTGCTCTTTCTGAATGTTCTCTAAGTTGCATTGTTAAGTGAAAACACCAAGGCAGAGAATGTGACTAGTAGGCTGCCACTTGGATTTTTTTAAGACTAAATAGATATGTTTTATATGCATAGCCTGTCTGTGAGAGAAATCCAATAAATCATCAACAGCATTGCCTCCAGGCAGGAGAACTCAATATCTGGGGGAAAATGCTTTCTAAGGTACGGCCTTCATATCTTGAATTTTGCACCTGTGCATCAATTTTTCAAATATTTTAATGAATCCTTTAAAATGAAGTTTTACAGGACTGAAAATAATCTACAGTAGTGAAATCAATTGTTTGGCAAATAATCTAGAAACATAAAATAAATCACCTATATTTGGCATTTCTTTACCAACATGATAAAGTTTTATAGTCGTTTTTAAGGAAATCTCAAGGAAGAAAAATAACTTATTAAGTAATTGATCTCTATAGACTGTCAAAAGTATGCAGGCCTGCGTGATCCTGAGATCATGACCAGAGCCAAAATCAAGAGTTGGACGCTCAGCCCACTGAGCCACCCAGACAACCCTGAAAATCTTGTTCTTTAATGATATCACGGCCAAGTGACCTTCCCTGAGATCAGCAGGTCTGGCCTGGGCCACATCCAGATTTCTCTTCAGGATGGTCAGTTCATAGCCCTGCCAAATCACCATAGACTTTGATACTCAGAGAGTCAGAGACACAGGTAAAGAGGATAGGGATTCCTTCCCCATAGCCAATTCCCAGAAGTAGCTGCCTTATACCTGTAGTTAGTGACTTTTTAAAGTATTATTATTCACTCACCTCACACACTCAACTCTTCCACTTTTACCTCTCTTGAATTTCTATGACAGAATCAGGGTCTTTAGGGCATGTTTTATTTTTAAATTCTTTATTGTCATTCCTGACATTGCCTTGCCCAGTCTCCAGTAGTGTCAGCGTCTGGCATATTTTTCCCATCAGTGCTTTTTTGGGTAACAGGTGGGTGGCAAAATGTTTGGTTTTGATTCCTGTTCTTTATTGGCAGGCATCCTAGAGATCGATATAGTAAATTCAGGTCACCAGCCTGTTTTAACCCTTTGCAGTTTCACAGTTTGTGGCGGGGAGAGAAGATGGTTCTATCCGCCCACCTCCCAGTAGAGTAGGAAAGAAGTAGAAAAAGAAGTTGGCTGGGACAAGAAATAATTTCCACATAGACCGAGAAGTAGCTGAGAAACTTCAGCCACAGAGATTATTCACTCAAGTCCCAAAACTGCTACAAGAAAATTCAGAAAGTGAGAGGGTTTTTTTTTTCCCCAAACGACAAATGCTATCCTCATTTTGACTGAGCAGTGTGATGGCGTCTCCTTAGTAAGCAGTCTGATGGGAGAAGAGAGACTGAGTAGGTGCCCTGCTCACCCCACCCAGACCCACTTCATTAGGCAGGACTGTACAAATAATACACACACAATTATTGACATATGCAACTCAAAATCCTTCAGTGCACAACACTCTTCAGGTGTAGAGTTCCAATAACTTCAGAAATCTGTCCCTTCTCACTTTTTCACTCTGCTTTGCTTTGACTGGCTTCTTTCTCAGGCTGTCTGCTCACAATGATGTAGGTTTACCGTCTAGCAGCCCAACAACTCACTGTAAAGAGAGCACGGTTCCTTCTGGGCTGTTCCAGGGATGACACCTATGTGCCCAGCTTAGGTCACATGTTATCAGCGGACCAATCACTGTGGAGGAGGCTGTGCTCTTTGATTGGCCAGGCCTAAATCATGTATCTATGCCTGAAACCAACATTTCCTCCCCTACTCCCCGCTGGTGCTGTCGCTTTCCACCTGGACCACAGGGACTCAGATGTGCAAGGGTGAAAATGAAGCTATGATTAGCAGGTAGAGAAATGGATTCTTCAAGGCCAGGGCAAGAGGAAGTCAATGAAGCACCAAGGGGCTTTAAGTGTCTTTAAGGAAGACACTCATTTTCTGGTTCATGAGGGTCTCTTTTGAGAGAGTCCCTCCTTAAATTTTGTGTCCTAGGCACCCCACTCATCTCACCTGGACTCTATGCAAGCAAAAGACAAAATACTCATTATACCCATATTCAGAAATATCTCCCAGCATGCTTAAATTTCACACACACACACACATCCCAATTAGAGATTTATTTTTTTGGAAAAGCCAGACATCTCCAAAAATCCTTCAGTTTTGCTTTGTTTTTCAAAAACAGCTAGACGGCAAATCTTTAGGTCAATAAGAGTTTCCCATATACATGCTAATTATAGACTATCAAGTTAGTCACTCCAGAGCCAGCCCCCCTTGATAATAGTGTGATGCATTGTAAGGAGAGGCCTTGAGGAAGAGAAGGAATGGTAAAGACTTGAGACTGCACAGAAAACGGCCCCTTAAGAGGAAAAAAATGACAAAGAAAAGGAGATACAAGGTTAAACGCATACTTTTTTTTTTAAGATTTTATTTATTTATTCATGAGAGACACAGAGAGGCAGAGACACAGGTAGAGGGAGAAGCAGGCTCCATGCAGGGACCCGGATCCGGGACTCGATCTGGGACTCCAGGATCATGCTGTGAGCTGAAGACAAGACTGCTGAGCCACCCAGGCGTCCCTAAAGGCGTACCTTTATTCAATCGTTTAGTACTGGCACTAGGCCTACTTCATCAATTTTCCTAAGTTCTGCCATATAGAGAATGGAGAGAGCAGACTGGCAAGTGAGAACGTGGTAGAAAAGACAGTAAATGTGGAAATCTCTAAACAGGAATGCTTTGGTGTGCGCAACATCTGGGAAGGCTTATCTGGAGTTCTGATGTTAAGCTTTCAGGAGAAAGATGAATTCTGCCAATGGCAAAGCCCTGAGTCTTCAGGTTGCTGGCATCTTTGAAAGTTTAATTTTCCCAACAACAGGGATTTAAGGAAAGACTAGCAGAGTTATGAATTTTGTGTCCTTCCTAGGACCACGGGAAAAATCAATCTTTAGACCACAAGATAAATAAGTCAAGTACCTCTTAAGTTCAGTACTAATAAAGCCAATTTCTTCTATCCTTCATATTCCAGTAATTTCATCTTCCCTTTCTGGGACTCTAGTTGCCTTTGGCAAAGAAAAGAGCTTACATAACTGAAATATATCTGCCTGTCATAAAAACCAGGTTTTAAAATTTTTTACCCACCTGAAAATAAGTATAAAAAGCAATGATTCTGTTATTAGTTGGAGGCTGCATTTGGGAATATGATTGTCCGTATGTCAACTCATCATGGATCCAAACACCACCCAGAAACCAGAATGACCTGGTCCATAGACCCAGCTACATGCTCCTGGTGGCAGATATGACCCCATGGTGTCAGTGATGGACAGCTAGATGCCAGCAACCTTGAGGTCTCATAACTCACTCCCTCCCCCCCTTTTATGGAGCAGACTTCTGCATAAAATGGCCTTCTCAGGATCTGTCCCCAGGGAAAAAATGTGATGGCTAGAATGTTGGGTACCCTCAGCAATTGTATTTTCACAGTAATTGTTTCCTTTATATTCCACTAACAGCTAACAACTCAGCATTCTGGCTGGAAGTCTCAAGTTCAATACACTAAGAATCCCGTTTCTGTGCCCACAAGGCATAAAGCCAGGTCTTAGACCAGGAGCAAGTCACTCAAACCCCGTTGATCAATCAAGAGGCCTCTAAGGGACACGCCAGGAGGCCTTCTTTCCTAGTTGCACCCCTTTTTCTCACCCTGTCAGTCTTCAAGCTGGAGAAATTGATGCTCTAAAATCAACGAATCCCTTTTTAAGTTCTTCCTCTTCTGAAGAATACTATCAGATGAAATTTTTATAAAATATAATTGACAGGTTTATTAATGAGTGTAATAAATGTTGGTACTAATTATAAGCAAAGCACTACGCTAGGTGTGATGGAAAATCCCAGGCTGAACAGGATAGGATGTCGGCACCCCCGGGGGCTTGCGGTCCAGGAGAGGTGATACAGACACAGTAACTCTCTAAAGAGACAAAGCATCCTAATTGCTGTATTGGAAGCATAAACTACGCTGTATGGAGAAAGGAAAGTTTAATTGTAATGAGAGGCTTAGAAAAGAAGGGAAGATGTGGGGTCTGAGCTAACTCCACAAGCTACTCCGGGGGAGAACTGCAATTCAGGCAAAGGAAGGCTTGGCTCAGAAGTGCCAGGAACAGCCTCCATGTGTCTGAACATCTGGGTGTTGGCTAGTATGCCGTGAAACTCAAGACCAGGTGGCTGGGCAAGAGCAAGATTGGAAGGACTCTAGGTTCTAAACTGCAGTTTGAGAGTGCAGTGGTGCTTTGCCACATAGGTTATCATGATGAATTAAATCTTAAACCCCTCAAAGCTGTAGCTTTTGCTCTCCTCCTGTACATAAAGATTTATCAATCCAATTGCATATATATATAATTATGCAGCATATATTATTACATATTATTATGCAATAGTATATAGGTCTATATAGACAATAAGGTATCTATCCCATCATCCCTCTTTTTCGTTTGGCTTGTTTCTTTTGAACGATTTACTCCACCTAAATTAAACCCTCCAAATTCAAGATCATCCATGCTATGGGCCCCACAAGGCTTCCAGACAGAGGTGGAAAGACGTGTCACCTCTTAGGCTGAATTGAGACAAAACGGCAATGGGAGAAATGCCTGGAAGTCTAGGCCAGGTAGGCAGTGTGCTGGCAGCTACTCAGAGCTGTCTGGCTGCTTCAGGAGAGGGACCTGCTCAGCCTCGCTAAGCTTCCATCTGCCTGGAACGCACAGATTCCAAGGGCTCTGGGGAAAACCCGTGAAAACCCGTGAAAACCCGGGAGGCGGATCCCTGGGCAGTATCTGCCGCGACGGCAGCCGCCGAGCGCCGGAAGTTCTGGTTCTTCCAGTTGCCCGGGATTCCCAGTTTGAACCCTTCCTGGAAGCGCTTTCCTCACCGCTCAGGTTGCGAAACCCAGCGGCCCTCCCTCGGCTCCCCCCGGCCTCTTATACCCGCGAGAGGCGCCACCCGCAGCCCTCGCCCAGCCGGCCCGCGCCCCGCCGCAGCTGCGCTGGACCGCGGCCGCCGCGCCCGAGCACTTCTCAGCAGGTGGGTCCGGTCGCCGGCCGTCGCCTCGTACCTTGCGCCACCAGCCCCGCTCCCCGCTCCGCTTCGACCCGCCTGGGGCCCCTGCGTCCAGGACCCGACTCCGCGCCAGCCGGCACCAGGCGGCAGGCGCCCGCAGGAGCCCTCGCCGCGCCCCCGCGCCCCCGCGCCCCCGCGCCCCCGCGCCCCTCCAGGAGGGGGCGTCCGCGGGCGTCTAGCTCCCCGGGGCTCCCTGCTCATCGCCGCCCGAGAGTGCGAGAGTGCGGAGACACCCCGGGGGGAGCGCTAGGGTGTGCCCTCCTCTCCGTACCTTACCTCGGGGTCAGAGCCGTCTTGCGGCGCTCCCGGAGAAGGGAGCCTGGAAGAACGTAGCTTCGGCCATCTCCGCAGCCCCAGACCCTCCCCAGGAGCCGAGGTTTGTCCTCAGAGCTGCCACCGCTTCCGTCCTTGACCTTGATTTCCACGTCCTTCTGTAATTTAGCGATCGCTTTTCCAGAGACAGTTTGAAATGTGATTTATTGTGAAGAACGAATATAGCCTGGTTTCCCTGTTTGTCCAGAGGCAGCTAGATGGTAGTTTTTCGCTCCAGATAATTTAGGGACTTTTTTTTTTTAAGATTTTATTTATTTATTCATGACAGAGAGAGAGAGAGAGAGAGGCAGAGACAGGCAGAGGGAGAAGCAGGCTCCATGCAGGGAGCCGACGTGGGACTCGATCCCAGGACTCCAGGATCACGCCCTGGGCCCAAGGTGGTGCTAAACCACTGGGCCACTGGGGCTACCCAATAATTTAGGGACTTTTTTAAAAAGATGACTGGTGTAATGAAAGTGAATTGGATGGAAGATAGGGGAGGGAAGTTGGAGAATCCTATTCCTAGTTCCAACTAGCAGCTCACCACCTTAGCCTCTGTTTCCATGTATGTAAAATAAAAGGCTATTGGACCAGATGATCCTCACAGTCCAACCCTGTAACAAAGTGAAAATCCATTACTAAAGATGCTTGCTGGTTTGGAATACATTGAAAGTCTCATTCATGCAATAAATATAACCAAGCAATTACTTTCTTCATAATAAGCCAATTTTCATTTTCATAGGGCTGCTACTCGGTTGTGGGGCATCTCTTCCCACACAAGTGTCTTAGACTTCTACCACGTTTATCATTCAGAGAATACTCTCAGCTTTCAAAAGCATTCTTCAGCCATGCTATGTGAGAATGTCCTATTCCCTATAAATGGCAGTCATATAAATGTCACTCACATGAAAGGACATTTTTTTCTGATCCAGTAGGTGTAATTTTATAAAATGGCACATTTATTTGAAGCAGTAACTTTTTGAGATACGGCCTTTTGCAAGGCCTCGAGTTTTTCAGAATGCTATGATTTAGCACGGAATGAAATTCCACCTGCATGTATTCTATCTGCATGGCAAACATTGCCAACTCAGAAAACAGGATGAAGCTTTCCTCTATTTATCAGGCTTTGCGGTTGTAAAGTAAATGGTACATGTGTACAGAGAAATTGGGTCATAGCACTTTCTCCACTGGCAACATTTATGGTTCTGCTGAAGTTCACATAGAAGCTTCAGGTTTCAGAAACCAATGTGTACAAGACCTGACCCCTAACCTGAGAATAATTTCTAGACTTTTGCCTTGATTACACTTGCTAACTGTTGTTAGAAGTAACCAGATACATTTTTATATGCCCGTTAATAAATTGAAAACCCTGGGCCTTGAGCCTACTTCTGAACAGTTTAAAAAAAAATGGATTCAGATGTCACAGAATTTCAAAATCGAAGCAATCCTGGGCAGTCACTCTGCTCTTCCCTGTCTCCTGAAGGACTGCCCCTACTTACTCTACCACTGTTAATGCCATTATTAAAAGGACATAAATTCTCTTTTTATTTTTTTTTAGTTTTTTCTTTTTTATTTATTTTATTTTCATTCTCCTTTCATTTTTTTTAAGATTTTATTTATTTATTCATAGACACAGAGAGGCAGAGACACAGGCAGAGTCGGAGAGGGAGAAGTAGGCTCCATGCAGGGAGCCCGACGTGGGACTGGATCCCAGGTCTCCAGGTCTCCAGGATCACACCCCAGGCTGCAGGCAGCGCCAAACCACTGTACCACCGGGGCTGCCCTCATTCTCCTTTTAAAATCTCCCAGGTAGCTGATTCTGTAATCACCCTCAGAAATGCAATCTAGTGTTTCATGATCCTCATCGTCTTGTTCGCTTTATAAGTCATTTGGATCTTTTTGTCAACTGGTATTTAAAAAATCATTTCCTTTTAAAAATCTTAAGAAGGCCACAAAGCTACTGACAAAGGTATGTGCCTAATAACCCTTCAAACTTAAAGACTTGCTAGGGTTTCTTATAGCTAGTGTCCTCTGGGTTGTCCTCCAAGAAGGAGGTCATTTGCTAAGTGCCTATCCCCACATCTACCTATAATTCTTACTGTAAGATTCTATGCAGACTATGAATAATGTAGTTTTCTGGGTGAGAGGATTCTTTTGAAGTTGTAGTTACTCCAGAAATAACAGAAATAAGATTTACAAAGACAAGAACTCTGAAGTCACCTATTTGATTCTGTTCTTTGTAAGTCCAAAGAAAATCATTCATTAGTTAATGATGAAGACTTTCTGAACAGTTCCGCATGATGTATTAAACCTGTTCAGGATATTTTGAATGACTTGTAGGACATTTCCAAAATGATTTTAATTAACACTTGTTCTATTGTTGAGAAGAAATTAGTCCTGGAAGGAACAAAGCCAAGAAGGTAACCAAAGGATAATTAATGCTTAAAACAATGCATGATCAGAAAACATATTTGGCCTATATACATAAACAATTTGTTCTTCCAAAATCATTAAGAAAAAGAGAACAAAGAATGCTTGTACTGTTTGAAGATCATCTTTCAGAAATGTATCACTACAAAAAGAATGTACTATTCTACTAGAGGAAGTGTTTCCACTCTAACTAGGCAGGATGTTGACATCTTGATCCAAATCCTTCTCCACAATGCCCCAGAAGAGTTTATGATACCATGTGGGAGAGTTCTTACTACATTGTACTTTGACAGTCAAATATTTCAGAAGACTTGTTTTGAGAGAAATATGGTTTTTTTTAAATGTAGATTGTATGAGCAATCCTAATGTCAGGCTGAAGTAAAGCCCACTTTTCATCTTAAAAGGAAAAAAAATGTGTGTGAAGGGTAATTTTGAAAAGTTAGGAACTATCATTTTGAAAAAAAAAAAAAAAAGAAACCAAAAAGGTAGCAATACAACTATATATCACACCTCATAGAAGGTTATTAGAATGCAAACTAGGGAGTCTCTTCTGTCTCAGATCCAAATACTTAAAGGAAAAAATGGCATTAAGAACAGAGCAGAAAGCTCCAATCAGGTCTTCAGTGGCAATGGCACCAGTGCTGGGAAGATGAGGGGCAATTAATGGTCCACACTGATTCTTTGTGGTTCATCTATGCCTGCTCTTTTTACAGGGTGTGGAAACAGCTTTGAACACAAATTAAACAATGGCTGAAGCAATTTCGTGCAGACTTTAGTATACTCCTTGTTCTGTTTCCACTTTTTCTAAATTAGTGCCCATTCTCTAATGTGGGGTCTGCTGTGCACATTCCTATGCTTGGGTCCTTACACAGCAGGTTAGAGCAGTTTGATGATGTGTCTCCATCCTCCCCAAGACTGGAGCACAGCACAGTGCCTAGCACTGAGAATCTGTTCAAAAACTTAATTGAAAACATGAAGCCCTACCAAGACATTGATAAACTGATTTTTATTTTTGGAAGGTGTGAACTCTTATGGAGGTAGCAGGACATGAGCAGAGGTGCCCCCTACACTGTACAACCTAAGGCTGAAGTGTCCAGATTTCAACTGCTTGCCAATCCAGGAGAAGCATAAGCTTGCTTTGCACTGTATGGTGCATATAAAATAAATAGTGGAAATTATTATGTTTTTTTTAAGAAGGAGGAAATTGCAGGAACCTTGGCATTTTTTCTCATTAACCTTAATTTTAGTAACCTTATTAGGTTGTTACTATACCAGGTAAGTTTCATAAAAAAAAAAATTGTAACTATAATACTTTGGAGTCTAATTCATTTTAAAGAGTGATACAATACGATTAAGGCATTTAACTGAGGTCATGAAAATTGGAATATTGAATTTTTAAAGGTTTTAATTAGTTTAACTTAAGTAAAGCACATTAGACCTTCCTTAATACCTGAAAGCATGGCATGAGATATGAAGCTTAGTGAACAGTTCAAAAGAATTAAGTTACAGCAAATCATACTTATACAGAAAAATTATGTTCCCCATTATTTCTTCATAGAAAAGGAAAGGATGTTGGGGAGAAAACAGTTCATAGATTGGCAAATGGTTTGGCTTAGTTAATAATGAAAGGTGCCAGTTGCCTCTGGTTTTCCCAGACTGCAGTCCCCAATTGTGCATTCTTGAGGCATACCTGGAAAATGGAAAGATATACGTTTGGGGAGAGTGATACAGCAAGAGGCCCCCACCTCTATCTCCCTGAGGGAAGCAAGAGTCTAAAAGTATCAGATTTATAGGCAGCAGTGTGTTAATTCCATGTTTGGGGCAGAGAGTATGTAGGCCCTTTCCTGGTCAAGAGGGAGCCACACAGACCCCATTTGCATTAGAGTGTAGGGGCCCTCTGAGAAGGGAGGCCCCTAGGGAAAGAGATTTAGGCCTAAATTGCAGGTAGGACTGGAAAAGTGTTTCACCCTATCAGCCAAATTATTTTCCCATTTCCGTGATCACATGCCATTCTTTAGGAGAAGGGATGAGTGGAAGAGAAATAGCTGGTGAGGTGCTGATAGCACCAACTGCTAGCATTTGCTGGTTTTCATGGGGTGAAAAATCTCACCATGGCTGATTTCAAGCCCTCATCTGGTAGGCCAGCTCTAGCCATACCATTGAAATGAGCTGAGGTTGAAAACCAAGGAATTTAAAATAGGGAGCATCTCATTAAAAAATAT